AAGAGGGAGTCAAGCTATTCTTCAAAGCATCTGAAGGCAGGACAAGAAGCAACAGATGGAAACTAACAATGGAGAGAAGCAAGTTATAAGGAAGGAGAAACTTCTTAACAGTGAGAACAATTAATCAATGGACCACAAGTTGCCTCCAGAAGTTGTGGGTGCTCCATCACTGGAGGTTTTCAAGAAGAGATCGGACAACCACGTCTGAAATAGTACAGATCTCCTCTCCTGCTTGAGCAGGGGGTTGGACTAGAAGATCTCCAAGGGCCCTTCCAACTCTATTCTGATTGATTGATGGAATATCTTCTTGGAAATAATTGAATCTTAATCTCCATATACCTTGATTCTTGTCTTTGCAAATTGTGGTCGATCCATACACCATTGATGAACAGTTACTGTTTGTTTGTTTGTTTGTTTGTTCCACTATCTTTCATATCCGCTTTGAACAGACCCTCCAAGAGATTGGGCACCAAGAGCATAACATTGAGGCACTGAAGCAGGCAATTAAGGATAAAGAAACACCCCTCAAAGTAGCTCAGACAAGGCTGTATGATCGCTCCTTTAGGCCCAACGTGGATCTCTGCAGAGACACTGCCCAGTTCAGGTAAGTCACTGGGCAGTATCTTAATTTAAAGGATGAGGATAATAATGATGATAATAATGTACAGTACATCGCTGTTTCTCAACCTGAGCGATGCAGTGGCCTAGAGGTGGAGCTCTCGCCTCACAATCAGGAGGCCATGAGTTCAATCCTAGGTGGAGGCAGATATTTCTCTCTCTGGGCACAATGAGACTATATTTGCTGAATATAACTCCACATTGGTGACAGGAAGAGCATCTGGCCAGTAAACGCTCTGCTCCATTCAGTTGCCCAGACTCCAGTCCTCAAGGGATTATGATTAAATGATGAAGATGATCACTGTTTCTCAACCTCAGCAACTTCAAGATCTATGCACCTCAATTCCCAGCATGCTGGCAGAGGAATTCTGGGAGCTGTAGTCCACCCATTTTAAAGTTGCTGAGGTTAAGAAATTCTGATGGAAGTGATGGTTGAGCATCTCACCCACTAAACGAAGAATAAAGATTCAATCTTCTGGTCTTGTTGGGTAAGGATGTTGCTTCCAGGTGGCATGTGTGAATACCATGAAGTTGGTAGAAGGGGTATCTGCAGGGTGTGTTCCAAAAAAATTGAGATAACAGCCTTGAGTGTTGATGGCAGATTACAGCCAAATAAAGCTAATTTAGCTAGTGTCTTCTGAGTTATTGTTTAGTTATATGCAGTGGTGAGATTCAAATAATTGAACTGTTTCTCTGCCCTAATGATTTCTTCCAATAACCAGTTCACCAAACTGCTCAGAAAGTTAAAAACTGGTTCCCCTGAGGTGGTGGGAACTGGCTGAATCCCACCACTACTTATATGGCATTTACAATGAAACGTTTAATAATTTTGGTAAAGGTAATTTGGTTTAATTAGCAATTCTGGCATGTTTTCAGTCTCCACGTTCTAATATTTTTAAAAATAACCTCGATCTGGAGTCTTGAAGATATTTATTTAGAAATGAACTCTCTAGGTTTTCGAAAAGTTACCTGCATTTATAGTTGAAAAGGGATCCAAACTTTTTCAGTCAGCACAGAAGGACTGAAGCAGATGTGAACTGCTTTGTAAACACACTTGGAGGAAAAATGGGCAATGGGCTGTTTATGCCTTTATTTTATTTATTAAACAAATTTATATGTCTACTCAACTCACGGTGTTTCTGGGCATCTTATTCAATGTTAACAGTTTATTTCTCGGTGTGTCTGAATAAACGAAAGAAGAAAAATCCACAACTATTGGTAGTCCTCAACTTATGACTGCATTTGAGCCCAAAAGTTCTGTGGGCAAGTGAGACATTTGTTAAGTGAGTTTTGCCCCAATTTACAACTTTCCTTGCCACAGTTGTTAAGTGAATCACACCAGTTGATAAGTTAGTAACTTCGTTGTTAAGTGAATCTGGCTCCCCCATTGACTTTGCTTGTCAGAAGGTCGCAAAAGGGAATCATGTGACCTTTGAGACACTGCAGCGGTCATAAATATGAACCAATTGCCAAGCATCTGAATTTTGATCATATGACCATAGTGATGCTGCGAACGTCATAACTGTGAAAAATGGTCATAGGTCACATTTTTCAATGCCGTTGTAACTTTGAATGGTCACTAAATGAACTGTTGTAAGTCAAGGACTTAGCTGTATACAGTGTCAACTCTGAAGTGAACCTGGCTGAAGCCATCTTGGGCTGCCTCACAGTTGCCACAAAGCCTGAGAGAGAAGAGGAGGGGGGGAGTAGATAGCCCAGCTTACAGTTAAAACAAAAAGTTTTCCTGTGAGAACCAAGGTCATAGGTGGCTGGTGAAGGAGGAGAGGAGCCTGCCAGATATAGTCATTGGATAATGTGACTGATGACATGGGGGGGGGAGTTTAATTCTTTTAATTAGTTGAAAACCACAGGAACTTTCAGAGTTGGTTTTTACCAGCTGTGCCGATAGGATGTATTCAATAAACATCCTCCTTGAGGAATCTATGTGCCTCAGAGTTCTGCTTTCAATGGGTGTGTTACTTGGACGCTGACGTACAGATTATACAGAGTAACAGAATTTGAAGGGACCTTGGAGGTTATCTAGTCCAACTCCCTGCTCAAGCAGGAAACCCTATGTCATTCTGGATAAATGGCTGTCTAGTTGCTTCCTAAAAGCCTCAGGTGCTGGAACACCAGAGGTGGGTTGATGCTGGTTTGGCCCGGTTCGGCTGAACCAGTAGTGGAATTCAGGCCTGGATCACATAACTGACAGCGACCCAGGCCTGCCATGCCCCTGAACCAGTTCCCTCAGTGCCGCTGGACCATTGCCATTTTGCAGTTTAGTGACTGCGCATGCACAGTTCACTGTAAATTGTTCTGTGCATGCGCAAACAACAATTTACATTGAACAGCGCTCGTGCGCGCAGCTCTCATCTGGCATGTGCAGGGTTGCAAACCGGTAGTAGCACCAGCAACAATCCATCTCTGTGGAGCACTCAGAACTTCTGGAGGTAAGACTGGTTGATTGTTCTCCTTTGCTTCTCTCCTTGGTTAGCTTCTGTTGAATGCCTTTTGCACGTACATCTTTCTCCTCCACAATACCATAAAATCAAAGGACTGAAATTAATCCAAGGAGCGGAAATAATCGTTTTTCCAGTCTTTCAGATGGAAGTGGAATTTTTTTTTAGAGGCCAGAATTTCTGAATCTTGTCTATTTATTCTATTAAAAAACGGCTGTTAAATTGTGTGCTCTGGCAGCTCAGATTAATTCTGCTCTTAAATGTCAAAACAGAAGAATTTTTGCCCGGTGAATTAGAGATATTCGTCATTTCACTCATCAAATATTGCTGGTTTCCTCAATTGCCCCCAAATATTTTGTGACCTCCTGTCCATACAAATCACAAAGGGTAAAATTCTCTTGTGGTTTTTTTTAATGAGAGTGTGAGTGAGGAGCAAGGCTTTCTAGACAACCTACAAGGTCCCTTCCAACTCTGTTAATCTGTTTGTTTAATCTATCTATGGAGATTCTCAGTCATCCAGGTCCTGGTTGTCCCAAGGTGCTTTTTCAAAAGTCACATGGCCTTTGTTTTACCATGAAGATGTTTTGCTTCTCATCCAAGAAACTTCCTCAGTTCTGAGAAGGATGAAAAAGCACCTTTGAGTCCAAGTCTTGAGGTACAACAGATTCAATTTGGACCTTAAAATCCCATGAAAAAGGTGGAAAAATGGCTTTGTGGGTAGCCATTAGTGGGAAGAGGCTGTATCTGAAAAACTACCCACAGATTATTCCAGGGAGGCATAGATACAGAGGCGTAATAATGCTTATTCACCCCAATTAAGCTTTTTAATTAGGTACAATTTTTTCTGGATAAAATCAATTGCTTACCATTCCTATAATCAACTAGAAAAATATCCGTTTGTCTCTCTTTGAACATTGAAAATGTTTTTATTTCTTTTTATCCACCTCTTTTTTTTATTAAATTCGAGTACTTGATTTTTTGGGAAAGGGTATTAGTGTAGATTATAAACCTTTCAAATGTAATTCATTTGTGTTTGTTAATTTATTTAAAATATTTATATGACTGCCCATCTCCTCTATAGATTATTTTAAATGATTTCTGTGGAAGACACTAAAACGTGTCTCTGTACAACATGTTACTCTCGTTTCTGTAACGTTTAAACTGGATTTAAGCTATAACTTTTTTGTATCTTGTGATTTACGTTGATTGTTTTTATTTAGTGTCCTATTATGATTTATGTCGATTGCTTGCGCTGGCCAGGCCCACACCCAGTTTAGTGAAGGGTAAAAAAAAATTGCGATAAGTCACGTGATGACGACGCCTTGACGACGCGAGTTTGATACCCCTGCCTTATTTAGTATCCTGTGACTATCACTGAGTGGTGTATCTTATGATTTATGATGATCGTATTTTATGATTACAATCATGATTTCTCACTTGCTGCTTGTATGTACAATGAGAGCTTATGCACCGGAGACAATTGTGTGTCCAACCACACTTGGCCGACAAAGAATTCCCTTGTTCTTATTGAGATCGCTGTGAGACAGATCCATTTGCTCATGGAGTATGGCTTAGCACAGGGCAGGGGTGAAATGCTACCTGTTTGGGCCAGTTCATCTGAACCTGTAGTTAAAAAAAAATGCTACTGGTTTGGGTGAACCGGTAGTCAGCTGTGTCCCGTGATTTATATTTGCTAGAAATCGCACAGCACAGCTGATTGTCAGAACTTTTAAAAAACTTTTTGTTAGCATTTTTAAAGTACTACTTTGTGAGCAAACCGATAGCAGATTTCAGAGCATTTCACCCCTGGCACAGGGGTGTCAAACTCAAGGCCCAGGGGCCAGATCCGGCCTGCAGGTGCTTAGAACTGATCAGCGGGGCTGCCCTGGAAATAGTGAAGGATTGGCCTGCGGTGCCTCTGCCAGTGAAAATGGAGCTTGCGCGGGCCATGCATGCCCCCCCCCCCCGAGCTCGGTTTTTGCTGGCAGAGGGTTGCAGGAGGTTGTTCCAGCTGAAAAAGGAGCTCAGGAGCCCGTTCTTGCCCGGCGGAATGCTTGGGATGGCACAGGCACCCCTGATACAAGTGACATCATGCTGGCCAGGCCCACCTGGCCACCCCCTCCCCCCATTCAAACACAACCCTGATATGGCCCTCGATGAAATTGAGTTTGACACCCCTGCTTTAGCAAGATCTGCATTTCTATTTTAGATGTATTGGTGAACATTTCCTAGAAAACATTATCTCCAGGCCAGTTTCACCCCCAGCTTCTCATCTTCTACTGTGAGGTCTCGATCCACACCACCAACATGCTCCCCTCTTTTGTCCTCCATTCAGGCTCATCAGCGAAGTGGAAGAACTGACGGAATCCATTGACTCTCTCAAAAAGAAGCTTCTGGAAGCCGAGCAAAGCCTCCGGAATCTGGAGGACAGCCGGATGAACCTGGAGAAGGAGATTGCCGTGAAAACCAACAGCCTTTTTATCGACCGGCAGAAATGCATGACCCATCGTACCAGATACCCAACTATCCTGAAACTGGCAGGCTATCAGTAGGATGTCACTGGAAGTGAAGGAAGCAATCAGTTTTGGTCCCTGAAAGCTCTATTTTCCTAAAAATGTTTGTGGTTGATGGTGCCATTCTTTAGTCTTGTAAACGCTTCTGGGATAAATTATTAAAATATAGAATTGTTGTGGAAGATAGGGTTGGTACAAATTTTATTTATTAATTTAACACGGTGTTTCCCAACCTGGATCAGTTTCTGTGGCATGGACTTCAACTCCCAGAATTCCCCAGCCAGCAAGGATTTGCTGGGGAGTTCTGGGATTTGAAGTACACTCCTCGGAAACCGGTCCAGGTTGAGAGACATTGATTTAAATGATTTGTATAGCCACCTCTCTCGCTTTTACATGATTCTAGACAGCTTACAATAAAATAAACTACATACAATGCACAACAGAAAATAAAAACAAAAGACATAGCAATTGGATATTATCCCTCCAACTTTCCACCCAGCCAAGAGATATTGTAGTTTAATTCTGGCTTGTTGATCATGTGCAGGGCCCATGAGGTCTGGTGGGCAGAAAAGCAGGATGGAAATGCTGCTTTAAATAAAGTCCTTTATTCTCTCCACATTAAAATTTAGGCAATTTTTGTTGAATGCAGATAGTTGAAGCGTTTGGAGGATTTTCCGATTCAGAAAAGCTGACGAAGATTTATATAAGAGGTATATTAAACCTGAAAGTGATCATAATTAATTCTTCTTGCATTCTCTTTTCTAAGTAACTTAAGGGAAATAGAACCAGTCAATTTGTTTTCCAGCTTCCACAGTCCCTACAAGCTAATTTAACACCAGGCTGCTCCTTGTTATGAATATTTAAGATTTAGGCTCTTTTTGTTTATTCAGAAACAATTTTCTTCAACCATCCATCATCTTCACAGATTGTAGAAGAGGGCCCAACAATAAACATAATGTAATCAATAGTGCAACCCCGCTCCCCCCAGCAGAATGAGGTAATAAGGGCAGCCATGCAAATCGGTTTTGAACTTTTAACAAAAATATTGTTTTCCCAACTGAAATTTCTTCCAGTGGGTGTTTCTGAATTTTGTTGATTCACAAAAATTCTGTTCTGTTCTATTGTATTCTATTCTATTCCTTCTTCTCTTCTCTTCTCTTCTCTTCTCTTCTCTTCTCTTCTCTTNGCCCTGAGTCCTTTGGGAGAAGGGCGGCATATAAGTCCAATAAACCTGAAACCTAAACCTGAAGTTATGCTTACCATGTTTTGGGATAAGAGATTACCAAGAAATCTCAGGATTATAGGTCAAACTAGGAAATAATTGTTTGAGAGAAGAAGGCAGCACTTTTATGGCTACTTCTGTGCTGTTGCTAAGAAGGCTTAAAATTTAAGTTCAATCCAAGAAACTCTTTATCACCTTGGACAATATATTCAGTAACTCAATCTTGACATTTTTCATTATCACCCCAGGTAGCTTTGAACAATATTAGTAGTTCTCTCCTTCTGTTGGCATCAGGACAACAGTCCTTAATAATGACTCAATGGCACATAATCATTTAATCAAGAGACAGAGAGTGAGAGAGCAGGAGGGTGGCCAATGAGCTTCATGGCCAAAAAGACTTGACCTGGATTCCCCTGATTCTCCTGGAAGGTCCACCTTTCTCCACACTCTACTGTCAATTTCCCTACATTTCTTTTGAGATGGGTTCCATACGAATGAAGACTGTCCTGTAAATTTAGGCCACAGATTAAGGTTCTGGCTATATGATTTACATCCTCCCCCTCCCCGTATCTTCCCTGCAGTGCTTCCACCCCAGAGACGTGGGCCAAGCACAGCCATGACAACATCTACAGGGCAGAGCGAGAAAGGCTGGCTTCCGTCAACCTCCGTGCCCTGGTTGACAATATCCTCCATGACACAGCCGAGGATCTGCGCATGCAGTTTGACATAGTGAACCAGGCCTTTGCCAAGCGCTGTGAGGAACTGGAGGATGCCAAGCACAAGATGGAGCACAGTTTACGAAAAGTATGGGCTCACCTGCTCTACTTCTCCCACTCGGGTCTATAGCAATTCGCCACTGCCAACTTGCCATGGCCAACTAACCATGGCCAACTCACCATGGCCAACTCACCAAGGTCAACTCACTATGGTCAACTTACTAAGGCTAACTCATCATGGCCAACTCACTAAGGCTAACTCACCATGGCCAATTCACCAAGGCTAACTCACCATGGTCAACTCTCCATGGCTAACTCACCATGGCCAACTCACTAAGGCTAAATCACCAAGGCCAACTCACTAAGACTAACTCACCATGGCCAACTCACCAAGGTTAAATCACCATGGCCAACTCACCAAGGCTAACTNTTATTTCTTTTCTGTTCTGTTCTATTCCTTGTTCTGTTCTATTCTATTCCTTTTTTGTTCTGTTCTCTTCTATTCCTTGTTCTCTTCTCTTTTCTTCTATTCCTTGTTCTGTTCTGTTCTCTTCTATTCCTTTTTCTGTTCTGTTCTCTTCTATTCCTTGTTCTGTTCTGTTCCCTCCCCTCCCCTCCCCCTCATCGGTGGAATGAACTATGATTTCTTTAACAGCACTTGTCTAAGTCAGTGTTTTTTCAAACCCGGCAACTTGAAGATGAATGCCTGTGGAGAATCTCAGTCATCCAGGTCAGAGTTGTCTCAGAGGTGGTTTTTTCTTCAGGGAGAAGAAGAAGACACTTTGCTTATCATCAAAGAAGCTTCATTGGTTCTGGTAGGAGGACGGGGATGATGGGTGGATTAGTTCTGATAGGATTGGGGTTGGGGTGGAAGGACATGTCATCTGGTCATTAGCACCCCCCCCCAGAACTCTTGAGGCCACTTGTGGGGGGGGAGTTATCTGTGCCCTCAAGGTCACCTGGATCAGAGTGCAAATGGGGGTAGAACCTCCTTGGAACTGCTGAAAGGACCGTGTTGTATGTCAATGGACCTCTGAAGATGTATGGACGTCAACTCCCAAAATTCTTCAGCAGGCCAGTCACTTCCCAGGAATCCTGGGAGTTGAAGGTGACACTTCTTCCAAGTTGCCAATCTTGAATAATCACAGGTTGAATATGCCAATTCTAGTGTCAATGGGTAGGCCGTCTAACTATTGAAATGCAGCATCATTTATATTTTAAAAAAATCAGTTACGGGACTGGTATGTGCCCTCAAGATGCAATCTACAGTTTGACATGGGACCTCATGTCAAAGGGATGGATACTATGCCCCATTTATAGTCCCAGCAGACATTGTGCGAGGTGTGAATCCTATTCAGAATTGTCCATTATTGATATGGTAGTTCAAACCTTGGCAAACCTTTGTGGGGTCATTTATATGTCTTCCTATGTCTGGGCGTTCAGTGACCCACTTGGCTTTCCGTTGGGAATCAATGTTGTTGGGAAGATGTAGTATAAGTGTCAGCGGGTCAATACTACTTGTGCTTGACTCAAAGAATCCTTCATTTTTCCTTGGGTTCACACAAAACACATACACCTGTAGTTACCTCGTGCCGTACGCCTTGCCCTGCTTCCTCTTCCCCACTCAAGTCAGAGTCTTTCTCCCAGCCCATTTATAGATAAGTCATGGGAAACTGAGATCACCCTTCAGAGAACCCAAGCAGTATGCCAGTTCATGGCTTAGTACCAGTAGTGCGTTGCAGGCGGTATGCCCCGGTACGGGCGTATCGGTGCCTATCCAGGTACTGTTCCAGTACGGTGCTCCAGAGGGAGGACCTGCCCCCCTGAGCTTTTTACCTGTATTTGAGCTATTTGTTGCTTCTGCGCTCGCACACGGAGCGCACGGCACCTGCATGACGCTCTGCCGAGCAGCTGGAGCATCGTGGAGCTCACGGAGGCATTGCAAGAGGTAGGGATGCATGTGTGACTGTGCGTGCGTGCTGTGCACATTCATGTGGTGGACTCCGGGCCCCCTTGCACCGTACCGGTTGCAACAGGATCCAGAACCCACCACTGCTTAGTACATTGTGTAAACCTAGTCATCAGATTTGTTATGTAGGGTTTATAGGTTAGCACGAATGATGTTGTTAAGTTCTGGCATTCACATAAAGAGAGAGTCATTTGGTTTGGTGAAAAGCAAAATCTAAGAAACTATCTAAGAAACTACGTGATAACCAGCACTAAATGACTACTATACAAAGGTAAGCAAATCCAAGTCAGTTCTAACAAAGTTAACCCCATCACCGTAGATATACCATTACCCTTCCCAGTTACACCTACAAATCCACCCAGTTACCCCAATGATACCCCTAATCACCAGCACCAATCACCATGACCCTCAGCCACACCCCCACTCAGTGTCATTATTGCCTCCTTCCTTGTAGGCTGCACCTGAGTGGAAGAGCTACTTCAGAGTAGGCAGCTACACCCAAGTGAAAGAGTTACTTAAGAGTAGGCAGCTACACCCAAGTGGAAGAGTTACTTCAGAGTAGGTTCTAAAGTGCAGTTGCTGCCCAGGAGGTTCTAACAGGCTCCACCGACATCAGAGGGATGAGGGGAAGGGCTTTGGCAGTGCCCCCAGCAGTGTTAGCGGCAGCATCAGCATTGGCGGTGTGTAAGCATGGCTGAGCAGGTGGCATTGGCGGCGTTGGCAATGGCGGCATGGAAGCCCTTGCTGAGGTCGGGAGATAGCGGTGCCACAGAAAAGCCGCTACCCCACAAATGTCAGCATGAGGGCTGACAGATGTCTTGCGCATTTCGTGAACAAGGTTCCAATATTTGAGGGGCTGCCATGAAGAAGAGGAGGTCGACCTATTTTCCAAAGCATCAGAAGGCAGGACAAGAAGCAATGGATGGAAAATAACCAAGGAGAGAAGCAACCTAGAAATAAGGAGGAATTTCCCAACAGTGAGGACAATCAACCTGTGGAACAGTTTTTGCCTCCAGAAGTTATGGGTGCTCCATCACTGGAGGATTTTAAGAAGAAACTGGACAGCCACTTATCTGAAACAGCATAGGTTCTCCTGCTTGAGCAGGGAGCTGGACTAGAAGACCTCCAAGGTCCCTTCCAACTCTGTTATTCTGTTATCTATTAATGGTCCCACCTTGTGCTGTAAATCACTAGTATTAGCCGCAGATCACTTTTATTTATTTATTTGTTTTTTTATTTGTCAACATCTACAAGGTAACAGGTATTAGTATAGACAGGGACATTTTCGCATGAGATTAGTACAAATAGATGGATTTAAATAAGTATAACATGGCCATAAACACATAAAATGCATACATATCAATGGGGACAGTAGGACAGGGATGGTAGGCATGCTGGTGCGCTTATACTTGCCCCTTTAGGGACCTCTTAGGACAGTGTTTCTCAACCTTGGCAGTTTGAAGATGTGTGGACTTCAACTCCCAGAATTCTGGGAGTTAAAGTCCACACATCTTCAAACTGCCAAGGTTGAGAAACACTGTCTTAGGAAATGCGTGAAGTCCACGGTGGACAGTTTAAGATTAAAGTTTTGGGGGTTTGAGGAGGTAACAGAGTCAGGTAGAGCATTCCAGGCGTTGACCACTCTGTTGCTGGTCGTATTTTCTGCAATCGAGTTTGGAGTGGTTTACCTTGAGTTTGTATCGATTGTTTGCCCGTGAATTATTGTGGTTGAAGTTGAATAGCCGTTGACAGGTAGGATGTTATAGCAAATAATTTTGTGTACTACACTTAGGTCAGAATGTAGGCAGCGTAGTTCTGGGTTGTCCAGGA